TATTACAGAAGTATAATTGCGATTTTCTATCGCAAATCACCGTGGACGTTTACCGCTGGGTGCGCGATGCAGTCTCTCGCGTGATGCCGCCGTATATTCCCTTCCGCGAAATCCCGCGCTCGGGGGATACCCGATTCTCGCGGTATATAAATTTGTTTACTTTAAATTATGACTCTAATAGATACGGTCGCGTGTCTCCCGATCGTTTCTTCGTCGGCGCTACGAACAAAGAAAGACGCATTATCGCCGAACGGTGGCGGCCGGGCCTCGTCAGCTGTTTTTCCTCGCGTGATAATCGGCAATTACGACCGACGCCGTATCGATCAGCGGCGATCCGATGGCGCGGATTATATCCGCCAATGATTTCGAGCTTGTCCGTTTCGACGGCTACGAGAAATTAGAAATCGTCCCTCCGTTCGAGCTGAAACAGCTCGGAGGGAAGCACGATAACGAGCACGATGGCGGATTCGCGGCGGTAGCTACGTGCAATTTGCATAAATAATGTCCACCGATCTATTGGCCGATAATCACTTCCCGCTTATTACCTTGAGACACGTACTCGACTTAATTATAATTATTATCGACGACTAATTTCACTCGTAATTGTTAGGACCGCCACGATAAAGTCCCCGCGTCGCGTTATTTTACCACGGTGAATAAACGTAATTACACTGCAGGCGGAAGAGCGGCGCGCTTATGAATTAAGAAAATTCGCGGAGGAACGCCATTTTCCAACTGCTCGTATCCTCATTATGTTGTTTCTTAATAATGAAACAAATAGGTAAATATGATCGAACATATGATTTATGACTCTATTGATAAAATAATGATAAAGTAATAAAATCGCGCTTGCCCTAACGGAAGTTCCTATCGCGAGAAATAAAACGACACTCGCTTCCGTTAATTCACGGATAGGGGAACGTTATTTTATACTATAATCAGCTGTGTGGGGTATATTAATCGTTATTGTTACTTAGATACCGCTCACGGTGATATACATTAACTTTTTCTCGATGTCGAACAATCATGTATTGTACATAATATTCCACTGATATTTCAATTTGCTTAATTAATTGCAAAATTATCTGCAAATTAACTAATAATATCGGTAAATTTGAACGAAGCATTATACAAAGATACGTGAAACTCAATGCAGAGATATAAATATGAAACGTAAATATATATTAAAAATTAAAATTAAAAATGTTAATATTTTAATATTTTATTTCAAATAAAAAAGGATTTTTTTACGTACACGTGGCTTGTGTTTTATTCCATAGATAAATTGCGTGATTTTGCTCGCATTGGTATTACAATCGACGGAGAATTAAAAAGGAAAATAAAAAATGAATGCATGCAGGCCAGTACCGTTTGTTAAGCTTGTACATTGTTTCACTACGTTGAGAGAGCGTCATTGCGTACATTATTGACCATTGGCTCGAAGATTAGAGCGATGAAGATTTACGTATTTGTTCAGATAACTGCTCTTTCACAGTTTTCCATAGAAGGCGATAGAGCGATGAAAGAGAAACCGAGCCGAGAGGCCTCGCACGCGTTCTTTTACAGTTCCATTGGGGAGTGATGGATGAGTTCTTCGGAGAACTGTCGTCGATAAATCACCGATAACCGTGTTTTTTTTTTTTAACAGTCTGTCTTTGTTTTCGCCGTTGCGCCGACAACGCCTTCCGCAAAATTGCGTTTACGACGATGTCAGGTCCGTTGTCTCGTAAAATGTACACGCCCATGGACGTCATTACCGAGTAATTAACACACTCTCTCTCCCTCCTCCCCTCCCCGCCCCCGCTTCATTCCTCCGCGTAATGAGCTCGAGCGTGGAAATTTGCATGTGAATCTCACTACGGCTGCCGACATACCGCAAAACCGCATTCGCGAAGTCATTCTCCGCTCCGAGCTATGCGGGTACGTAGTGAGGACCGGTCCGCGTTGTCCGTTGCATGTGCGAACGCAGTCGCGTGAATGCACCTGGCAGCGAAATTGGGTCGCGTGTCACGCCGCCCGTCATCGCCGTTCTGTAAACGTAAGAATGAACTTCCGATTGTGCTAGCTCGCAACTCGGACGACAGTAGACTGTAGTTGCTGTGCTCGTCTATGTGAGAAAAACAATATTAGTTATCGGTTGTTGATTGAATATGGCCTGCGGTAGAATAATTCCGGGACAAATAGCCATACGAGGAGAGACGGCCATTGTGGATTCTCCGGTAATTGGCTTGGGCGATATGCATGAGTAGTTAGTATAACGTCATGGCGATTGATTGAAATTGTTCGCGATTAGCAGCACTTTAGCGGATATGTGTAATACGCGTTTTTTATTTGATTTTTTTTCTCTTGTTGAAAATTACATTTCTCAATTACATGAAATTAACAGATCTCTTCAACTCAATGACGAGACGTAAATTTAAACTTTGTGAAAAATAAGCTCGTAGAGCCATTTTTTTTTAAACATTTAAAGACTAAAGATACTGTTTTTTTTTTTATAAAAAAAATTTACTCTAAATATCACTATTTCTAAATCAATCGCGTAAAGTTCACAAAACGTTTCAACTTTGAATTCATACACAGAATGAAAAAAAAAAGTTTAATTTTGTTTGAGACAATATGAAAGATTAAAGTCCCCCTTTTTAAATACTCTTTCGGAAATTGAAATACAATTTTTTGTTGTTGAGTCGTCGCGATTTATATTTTTAATTTTTCATTATTATTAGAAACAATATCCACGTTACACACAGACTATCTTAGAAATTAACGTACTTTCTCTAAATCGCAGATCCTAAGAGAAGTAATAACAGTTTGAATATATCAAGGTGTAAGTGGCTACTGAATTACAAGCGGCTGGACACATTAAAAGAATTCGCGATTTATGTTTCAGAGATGCGAGCGAGTAATATGATCTTATACGTGTGCTCCAATTAATTCTAAGAATAAAATTATGTGAACAAATTTCTTATCTGATCGCATAATTTTCGCGGACAGTTCTCTCGCAAGTCCAAATTGCGTTAACGATACAACTCACTTTACCCGCACATGTCCACGTGCGTTTTCGCGTGGCGTCCGCGGCAGACAAGCCGAGACGAACGCGGGGCACGTCGTCGCTCCTCGCGTGCGCACGGCATTAATTGATCGTATCTCCGCGCGCGTTTAATGTAGCGAAGCGCTTTTACCGCATCGGCGTAAAGTCGGCGCGGCCCGCGGGCAAGGATCGTGAACGGCAATCGCGTCCCGATTTCGCTGCGAATCAATTTACCTAACAAGAGCGAGGACGCGATAAAGTTGAACCGTCGCGAGGCCGCGCGAACCCGCAATTAGCGTTCCCGGTGAAACGTCTTATAATCGCTTAATAAGCGTTCGTGTGCAAATAGCGGTCCGCTAATTGAGTACACACGGGGCGTCGTGTGGCCGGCGATTAGTGCGAAAACCGTGAGGCTTCCTCAATACGACGCCCGACACGGTGGCACCGCGGTCCGCGTTACTATGTGAGAAAACTTTCCGTAACCGGTTTAACGACCGGTACTAAACGTCTACAGGTGTGAACGATAAACTTTTTCCGCGGAGAATGGTCCGAGCCGCTCGTGTTAATAATGCGTCAGTAGTAATCAGCATCAATTATATTGTCGTCGATCTCCGAGAAATAGAAGAAAGAAAGGAAGTGCGAGAGGAAGATAGAGAGCGAGAGAGAGAGAGAGAGAGAAAGCAGCATAGAGAAAAGGCAAATCGAGCGGCGTTGATTTACGCTTGATTACATTTCCCGCGAGATCTCCGGCGCGCAGTTCTGCATAAGTGAATGCGCTTTGACGAGACGCCGCTCGGCGCTCGCTTACTTTCGATTATTTCTGCGCCGTCATGAATGAGACGTCCGGTATTCGCGCCGGCTACTCGCGGTAGTAACGCTATTTAAAATACCGACGTGAGATACATATTATTCGACGTGTTACTCATGAAGGTAGAAAGTGCTTCGTCGAGCGCGTGATGCATCGCGATGCGTATATATACCTACGCTCGAGAAGAGGCGAATATATATGCGTGCATTTTCGCCGTTCACCTTCACTGGTCTCTGACAGAAGGTGACGAGGGTTAAAAGGTGGAATTAGAGGGAGCCTCTCAACCGAAGGTCAAGCTCGCGGGCTAGCACGGTCCGATGTCCGTTTCTGCATGCATGCGTGCACGTGCGTACATATATACGCGCACGTGCGTGATGTACGTGCTCGCCATCGGGCCACCGATGCGCACGCTTCCATCGCGATTAATCGATAAAGCGCGCTTCGTTTCGGTAGCGAATGCGCGCTTCGATCGATCTTTGTATCTCGTAAAGCGGATATTAATCGTAGAGACGTATTTAATGGTTCGATGAAGCATGCCGACATTATTCATCGTGGTGATGCGTGTTTTTATTTTTATATTTTAGCATGACGTGCACGTTTGTTTAGCAGAAGAAAATCGAAGCTACTACTCGAATGCTAATACGCCAAAGTTATATAATTAATTATTTAACATATTGATATTTTTAATAAGTACTTATAAATGTTAATGTGTCTGCACGTGTCAATTGAATGCTTAATTGCGAATATTAATTAAGGCGCATCGTATATCAAATGACTCTAGATTGATCGTCATCGATATTTTTCTTTCTTTTTATCAAATAAAATTGTTTCTTTTTTTAGTCAAATTTTCTATTAATTTTTTAACTTTATAAAAAAATCTTAATTACAAAATGATCTTATGAATTCAATTATAACATTGTCAGTTGGTTTTCAATTCACCACAGAGCAGTCATTCGATCTTATTTGAGGGCGAACGAATCTCGATGAATCACATCAAGATTCGTTCAGCTGTCAGTTTTGTGTGGCTGGCCCTACATGATATTGAATTCAATTACCGATTTCTGCTGGTATTCAATTCAGCTGTCAAATTAAAATGCAAATGGTTAAAGGATAGCCTTGTTATCGCGGATGTGGTAGTAACAAGATTCTTCAATCTGGTTTCAGGAACCAAAAAGCGAGTCGACGAAGTAGCATCACCAAGGACTATCCACGACTTGCCGGAATACGTTCTCACATGTGGCCTGTCCCTTCCCGGTAAGTATATTTAAAAAATACAAATTTCTTTCCGAGATAAAGTTACACAAACAAAGATCATTTTTACCATAATTATTTGACACGATAAAAAGATATTTGACTTGTAATAGATCATCGAAATTTGTCAAGAAAAACGAAAGGATTAGAAACGATGATTTACAGTTGTTTTTATAATTCTGTATTCGCCTTAAATTATTGCTAAACATCTATCTGGAATCTATACATTTCTTTGTATTTAAAGAAATATCGCTTAGGATCTGAAAGAAGGTTGCTCGTAGGTCTTCGTAATTTAAATACTTTTGGTGCGATGGTGGCGAGTGCGCTTTTATCGTGAGCCTTTGTCTCGCGTTGAGGTGCTCCACATAAAGGCAACGGCAGAAACGTGCGCTTACGCCACACACGCGACTCCGCCGCGCCGTTGCCTCTCGCGTCGCGTTGCGGAAGATAACAACACGCGGTGACCGCGGAGGAGTATGCGGAAGCTGGGACACACCCATCCACCACGTAGGGCTTCTTAAGCTCGGTTCACACGCCCCCGCATCTTCTGCCCGTTCCGTGCATCTATTTACGTACTTCGTCGAGTGCCGGCAGATACTTCCCCGTAGCAGGCCGTTTCTCTCCCTTCTACCGTGATTCCGCCTTATCGAGCGCGCCATTCTCTCGGCCGCTCTCCTTGCAGCTCTTCGTCCCGTATTGTCCCTTTCTCTCCCTTTCGTGAGGCTCAGCTGGCCGGATCCGCGGATATCTAACTGTATTCCCGTAGTTGGCGCAGTTGTTGCTCTCTGTCGTCGATTAGCGCACGGCAGGAAGAGGTAGTCGCTGGACGATAGCTGAAAGGAGCTTGACCGAAGATTAACCCGCTAGTGTTCGCGTCACGAAAACACGCTTTGCCTTAAATTACCATAGAAAATATATAATGATCGTTTAAGCTTTTAAACGAGCATGTATATTTCAGAGAACTCATGTCGGACAAAAATAATTGTTGTTCATATGTACAAAATATATATTTTTTGTGATACATGGAGCACTCACAGAATAAAGGATACAAAAGAGAGTCTTAAATGCAGAGATCGATTGCGCGATAGAATCATTACTGTCGAACGAATAATACCCGCGAGCATTCGATTTTCCTGGTACAGTAAGTGTCATTGTAATGGTGGATTTATCGCGTTATTATCTCGTAATAATAAACTTGAAAGTGATATTAATCTACGAGGGGATCGATTGAAAGCAATATGTAATACCTTTACGATACGAAACGGGGAAATCACTTCATCGAACTTCGCTTCGGCTCGAGTAAAGTCACTAATTTTTTTCGGCATCGCCTGATATCGTTCATGTAACAGTCCCTCCTACGAAGCGGCGTCCTGCAACGGTAACCGGGTGAAAGGGAAAAGCGCACTCGGGCCGCTTTAATTGCAACCGAGTGTGGGATATGCGCGACTCTTTTGTGTCTCGATTAAGGAGGGACCCCTTGCAGGAACATTAACGTTAACTATCCACTTACTTGAACATGAGCTACACGCTCAGTTCGCACGCCTTCGTGTTTCTCGTGCGTCCATCCATTTATATAGCTCCTCTTCTTGCAAAAGGGCCAACGGGTCCCTTCCGCCTCTCTCCCGTCTCAATGAATGCTCCTCTCTGTTTCTCTACGTCTCACACACCTACCGTACACTCTCTTTTGTACACTCTCCTCCTCCCGCTATACCTTTTCTTACCTCCCAAGGTATCACCTCGGCGTTCATGCTCTCCCTTCGCGTGCCTCGTGTTTCTCCCTCCGTTCCTTTCTTCCGCCCGTCTTCGTGGCTCGCTCAGCTGGCCGGATCCACGTATGTCTAACTGTATCCCGTAGTTGGCGAAGCTGCCGGCTTTGTCGCCGATTAGCTGACTGGTACGCGGGCAGGCGGAGACGATGGGCGACGAACTAATGGGCTCCGGCGTGCTTCGAACGGGAGAAATAAACGGTAAGAAACGCGTCGTGCCGCCGGTTGTTAATTTTAATTACAGTAAAACGCACGCGTCTCTTCTTACGGGACTGTTGTGAGTACGATCGCGCGAGACCCTTAGAGGTGAATTGCCCTTTCGTAGCTATAGGTAAAAGCGAACTTACACGGTTTACTTTGAATGATCGTTCCCGATGACTCATGAAAAGCGAATACAGTGAATGAATAAGTTTTTGTTTAACGGAATGTAACTGTAGAAATACAAACTATTATTGTAACATGATTTAATGTACACGGAAAGTACAATTTTGCTGGATCCAGATCAGAAAATAATTTTTGTTCAATAATCGAAATAATTTTGTTGGAAAGTCATAATGCTTAAATATCAAAACGTTTTATAGCAATGCCTATCACTTTTAACTTTCCAGCAAATTATTTGGATTATTGAACAAAAATTATTTTTAGACCTGTATTCAGCAAAATTTTTAGACACAAACAACAAAATCACACAATTCAACAAAATCGTTCTTTCCGTGTAATCTTCCAAAAAATAAAGCAACAGTAAAATGTTAAATGTATAGTGTGCTATATAATTATAAATCGACTCTCTTCACTTTTGATTGATAATCTTATCACTATAATAATAAGAACGAAACACAAAATTTCTTTCTCTTTTTTCTAAAGAATTGTTTACGCTGTCTATTTTTCGTTCGTGCGGATTCATTTTTAAGCATATCCTCGCGGAAGTGTTTTCTGACCACGCTTTGGCTCGACCCACGTATCTTCGTACTTCACATTCCCGCACCTATTTATACTGCCTTTCTTTCTACCGATGGTAGTTCCTCGCGTGTCTCGTTAGGCTCCTCTCGTTTCTCTTTCTCCATCCATCGATTCCGCCTTCAACGCTCGACGCTCGCGGTGCTCTCCTCGTCTGGTCGTGCACACTTCCTTCATTCCGCCACCTTGATTGCAACAAAGCGCAACGTTGTTTCAGTTTCGTGGGATCCCGTTGGAGTTGCCCCGCGGGGCTGAGTTTCCGACTCGTTCTCGAGCGCAATCTCCGCGAGATTTTCCGACCGTCTCACGTCGCGCTCGCGGTCCTCTACACCTTAATGTCTACATGCTCACGTTGCATGTACCATTCCTCCTCGATGATACCGATGCCCGGTACGCGATGAGAACGTACGAGGAATTTGCGAGAAAGTCTGTTGACAATCTGCCAGGCGGAAGCGCACTCTGTCCGTTCAAGAAATCTAAACGCTGTCTTTTAGATAATCGCCTATTGTGCCAAATCGCACAGGATGCAAGGACTTTATGTACATAACGTGCTTATTCTGCTCACTCTTGAAATAACAGTGCATGCATGGGCATGATGATCGTCAATTGCTCGACTAAATATGAAGAACAGTAACAAAATTATCTTTAAGCTTGTTAAAGTTACAGCTGTACTTTTTACATATTTATAATGTAAACGCTACCGTTTTTTATCGTAATGACAGCAGTGCTTTTTTGCTTTGGCCAACGATAACTACTAACGAAATTTTCGTACATTTACAGATATCTGATTTATAAAATTAAAATATGTAACGTTCTAAGATTAATGACTGAAGAGTATTTATTAGAGTTTGAATCATTATTGCTTTCGTGTTGCAAGAAATGCTTGATTCATTTTGACACGAGCACGGGATCGTATAAAGTGTGTAAAAGTACATATTGAAAGTTAAACACAAATAGCTAATCCGTTGCCTAGCCATCGTCTAATGTTACAAGTCTCGTGGTGTACGAAGTGGGTCTCTCGGTACGTCATCCGAACACGCTTCTGCTTCCTCGTCATTGATTCTGCCGCGTTCTTCAGGCAGCGGCAGCTCAAGACTCCCTTGTTATATCCTCTCCTTTCTCCCCGGTCGTTTCCTTTCCTCTTCCCACGGATTCCCCCGCTAGAGAGATCACCGGGTGCCTAACTGTAATCCCGTAGTTGGCGAAGCTGCCGCTTTGTCGCCGATTAGCTTGGTCGGGGCTTGCGCCGAGGCCGAGCCGCGGTCGCTTTAAAAGAGGTGGGACGGAGCAGGAAGAGGAAGCGAGCGGGAGATCGCAGCGTCGTGCCGCGTTTACGCCCGCCGGGCAAAGAGGTGCAAGTACGACAAACGACCGCGGCCGAAGTTCAAGCGGGTGCTGCTACGAGAGAGTCGGATTGGAGGGCATTAACGAGCCCCGCGTGGTGCATGGTGACGGCCTTTGCGGCCGTCACGTATTTTGTTGCCGTCTCGCTTTGCCATCTCCACCAGCAGATCCTCCGAAACGGGAAATCCGCGGAGATCGGCGACTACGCGCACGATCGAAATTTCGCGATCTAGTTTACGCTCGATTAGATTTAATCGACGTATTAAATGTTTCGACGTTAGATGTTTCGACCAATTAGTAAGCCCGTTGCACGAACGTACATTGACTTAATCCGTCGTCTCGATTAGGCATACCCGCATAAATTATCGGAAAATGTTGCCACGTCAGGAGAAATCGTTCCGACTCGATTTATGCCAGGAATCGTAGATTTATAAGGTAGCTCTCCGCGTGGCGCGTATACACGGTCGCAGCAGGTGAGCAGAGCGTGTAATAGAATCCCTCGAGAGAAGCGCGGTGAAGAAGAAATTATACAGGGTGCTTCATGAAATTTGCATTGAACTTTATCGATTTTTCGATACACTTGAAGTGCAGTTTTTCTTGCATGAAAGTTTAAGAGTAATTCGGGAGATTTATCTTGGCGATTTAACGTTCAAGATTAAAAAGTTAGAATGAATGAAGTTTCAGGTTCGCCGCCAGTTAATTAGTAGTTAATTGCAGATATTATTCTGATAGCAGCCTGCGAGGCGTAATTGCACATATATTTAATATTGAAGAAAAATAACGTCTGCTCCGAATGTTTCTTAAATCAAAACTTTTTATACGAAGTTTATGAAGCACTCTGTACGAGGAGCGCGGATACGTCAGCGGGATATAGCGGTTGTGGATATCCTCGTTAAATTAGACGAAGAACGAACGACGACGAGGTCGAGCGGCGGC